CTGAGGGATTAACCGCCACGTGTAGTCGCCTCGTGCTGAAGTGCCATGCGTAGCGTAAGGCACTTCGGTTCCGACAGGGACTTACCCCTGACTTCCCCGGCACTTCCCGGCACCTCGTGACCGTGTTGGTCACGATGCACCAGGCAACGCCGAGGAAGTTCAGAACCAGCACCCACTGCTCGAAGTTGAGAGACCACCCTAAGCGCTGCTATTGTGGTAGCGCAGTTGTTGTGATGGTCTATGTAGCAAAGTTTTTGAGTACCGATGGCAGTCCAAAGAGACACGTCAGTTGCATTAGGTAGGTTGTTGTATGCCAGTCTCAAGAACCTGTGAACCAGATGTTGTTCGGCGATACTCAAATGAAAATACTTTTGGCTCGGATATATTTTCGTAAACCATTCGTTTTGTATGAGAATGTTCGGAATACGAAAATTATTGATCAGTCGAAAAGGTTTTATTTTGACAAATCAGTGTCGTTTTAAATGTAATTGTCGGGCTTTAACATTAGAAAAGGAAATGATACAAAACAGGGTGTTTTTTGTAATCTCTAGTATATTAATTTGAGCATTGCAAACGATATTTGAAGATGGCTTAAAATCCCACGCATAAAAATATAATTTTTATACCATCACATACCTACATAGTTTAGATACCAAATGATATAGTTAAACACTTGTATTATGGAAATCTGAAACAACGAAGGTAACAACACCCAGACCAGAGACAATATAGAAAAGCTCATTATCTGCATTAACATGACCGAGAGTGGAATGCGGGAGCTCAGAAATGGTGACACCTTGGAACTGGTCAGCCACTCGCCCAAGATCCGACATATGCAATCTGGAACATCCTGATTGTTCCATAAACTTACAGATCGCATTAGATAGCCCCCTCCAATGTGTCATGTCATGCATTGTATTTATTTCTAAAGTTTAATGAACTGGTCTCATTACCATTTAAATATTGGTGTGTACTTCTGGTAATCTACCTCGAATCAACTTGCAGTTGCAACCATTTTATGCACCCCCTTGTTTTTTGGGTGCAATATACTATTAACAAAGAAGAACTTGTTCGTTCTTCCTATCAGCCAAAAGACGCCCCGAACGAGTGGTGGGGAAAAATGTTGGACGATTCAAAAGAGAAGTCTATTTGGATAAATATTATTTTGACTTTGACTTTGAACTCTGAATTTGGCAAAAATTTCTGTAAAGGCACCTCAAAAACTTCTCCACGGCTCTGAACACATCAGTGCGTCTGCCACTTAATATTTGGAAAATATAATCCTTGATGAATGTTGATTAGATTTTATCAAAAATCTCTTTAGCATTAAGGTCTTTAGCAATAGATCAATCTACAATTTGTTGTAAACTAACTAGTTTACAACAAATTGTAGATTGATCTATTGCTAAAGACAAATACCTTAACAGAATTAAAGTATGAAACAATTAGTTTAGAACTCTAAACTAATTGTTTCATACTTTAATTCTGTTAAGGTATTTGTTAATGCTGTAGATTGTACCATTTCTATAAAATATAACTATAATGATTTCTATTGTCGCAAATAAAGATCTTAAATCATCAATTGTTGTAGCAGAAACAAATCGCCTCAACTTATAATTTAATTTGAGCATGTTTCATCTAATTTGGTTTCACCATAGACTGGGTCTTTAACGTTATTAAGAAAAAATAAATCCTATTTGAACTTATGTTGATTGTTTTACTATAGTAGGTACATAAAGAAAATTATCACCAGTCGTAACTGCTGCAAGTAGAAACTGTTCAGGACCGTGGGGTCGTAGGGAACGTGATGGTGGCTGTGTTTGCCATAATTGCGGTCCTGGTATGGATACTATGTGCTATTTTGTTATGGAAAAATGCACAGGTGGATTTAGTTTTCCAGTTTTTATCATGCATTATCAAAAATGTCACTGGTTGGGGTAACAAATCGAATGCAAATCACTTACAGTTTTTCTCGCCTCTGTACCTTACTTGCTCTCTCCGAGCTGGAATCCGACGACACTGTTCGACGAGCTCGAAGACAATAAACACGCCTGCTTCAATGCTGTTTTCTTTGTTTATTTCGCTGTCCCGTTGCTCCATCCCGTTGCTCCATTGAGGAAAAATTAACCTCATTTTATATTCATTTCATTTTAATTTTAACACTAAACTATATAATAATAAGTATAATTTGTGCACATTTTATGTAGGACCGATGTTTTCGCCACGAAAAACGACGCTATAATGACGGTAAGCGTTCGTGCCTAAAAGTCATTGGTTCGCTACCCGCAAACTAGATGGCAGCACAGGCGCCGGAAGTAAGATGGGAGGTAGTATTTTGGACCGGAAACGTCACAAAAAGGATGATGCTTGACTCAAGATGGATTCCGGATATCGAACGGAACAAATAATATTACATTTGATAAAATATCTGGTATAAAAATAAATCATCATTTATTTTTTGTTACTTTATATTACTTTCTACTATATTATTTTCAGTACTGATACTAATAATTTATAATATATATTGAAATAATTTGTTTTAAATGATGACTATTGAATATTAATAAATATTGATAATTTTGACCAATGTTATTTTGGCGACTAGGGTTACGTTAAGTCTAAACTTCTGCCAAGTCGAGACTACAGCATATGCAACGTAAACAAACTTTGTGTTTTTTGCTTGTAAAAATAGGCCCATAACAGCAAAGCAGCTGATTCAGACATTTTTACCGATATTTAGAACGGATAAATGTATACATAATTTTAATTTTGAAAACTAAACCATATAAATAAATTTTTAACATAATATTTATTTATTTAATTGTTGTTAGACTTATAGCTAAACAACGAAAAATATAAAAAATAACAATAAAAAGTTAATTGTGCATTGTCATTAGCAAAACATTAAACATTATTCCTACTAATAGTAAACGCAAATAAAGTAAAGAGAATATAATGAGGAATTTAAAAAAAACATTAGTTCGCGAAATCAAACTAGATGTCGCTACGGTACTTTCTTGATTAGTCCATGAGAATCCTTACAGTTTTCTTTCATGTATAAAAGTAAATTAGTTTTTAAACTCAATAAACAACTCATATTCTATTTGTACTTTTTCGTATTTGTATTGATATATATGTTTCGAACTATGCAAATTTCAGTTTTTTAATATGTTAGTTAAAAGGGACTCTTTGGTCCATTCGTTTCCTGCAAAAATCAACTAGTGGATGGCTTTTTTAGTGCTTTCTCTTTTTTTTTATCTTCCTCTAATTCTATTTAAGTATGTATTTACTCAAAATTACTCAAAAAGTGTTTTTCTAATAAAACCCATACTTTGCTCAGTGATTATGCCTCTGAAAGTGATAAGTGCTGCGTATGCAACGAATGAATCTTGAAGATTATTCATTGTTTAAAAATATCGTAAATTTGCTGTGGCCGGTCTAGCCCGTACTGGCGACGTCGCAGCAATATGCGACATATACCAAAATTATAACCTGCGTAAACAGTTAGACGAGCTATCAATGAAACGGGTGAGGTTTTTACGCTAGCCTAAGAACAAGCAATACTAGCCTTATGGCAGAGCGGCAATGTCCATGATTGTACATCTATGAAAAAAGAAAAATATTATCTATGATTTAAAATGTTGCGTTTGTCTCAAATAATTTTTCCAATTTTTTTACATTTTTAATATATCTTTCAATATTTTGCTTGTCACCTTCTTATAAACATTATATTCATACTCTGTGTTTAAATTATATATATTTTCTAAACATCAAAACAGCAAGCATAACAATATCCTAGAGGCGCCTGGCAACACTGATATCTGGCAGTGCTGCCATTATTAAACTAATATCCTTAATTTCTGGAAAACTGTGTACATTTATAGGGAAATCTGACGTCAAAGTTTCAATATAATCAAATTTCAGTAGTGATCTTTGATTACTTGGCTTTTGCTATATAACTTACATATAACATTCACATTCATTTATTTAGTTGTACAAATATATATTTCAGATATGAATTACTGACTTTCTTCCTAGCAGGGCCGGTCCTTCCACATAGGCAAACTAGGCAACTGCCTAAGGTGCTCGTAAATAGATTATGTTTGCTGTAATTATCTGAACCTTAAAAATACATTGTCATATTAAGTCATATTGTCATGTCATATTGATTATATTTATCCGTTTTGTGTCCAATCCTGCCCCTTTATTGGAAACGAACGGAGCAAAGATCGTCAATATCGTTCTCTTTAACAAACATGTTAAAAAACTGAAATTCGTTAAGATCGAAACTTAGATATCAATACAAATACGAAAAAGTTCAAATAGAATATGAGTTGTTTATTCTGTTTTGAAAAAATATTTTATCACTATTACTAGCACCTATACATGAAAGAAAACCGGAAGGGTTGTCATGGAGAAATCAAGGAAGTACTTTAGCGACATCTACTTCGATTTTGGAACTATTTTTTTTTAATACTTCCTCATTGCGTCACACGGACGCCATATTAGATTATTCTTAATATTTCAATTATGTAAATCTGTTTAGCGATTTCGGAGATATGAGGTAATAAGATACACGGAAAACACATGACCCCTCCTTTGCAGTCGGTTAAAAAATAAAGACGGACTGATTATATAAAATAACCTTTTCCTCGTAAGGAACTTTGGTGACAGGTTCGACCGAAACTGAGACCGTTGCCGGTTTCGGTTTCGGACATACAAACCAGTTTCGGCCGGACACTTGATGAGATCCTTTACTGACAGATTTAAACCATTATGCAACCATATTACGTCCATACGTATTAAGTTGAGGTTTTATCTTCTGTCACTGTCAATTACTTTAGGCGACCAAAGGTTTGAACCATGTTTGAACCAAGGACTAACTTAAGTCCTGTATTATAATAAGACTGAAAGGTGCATGGTCTCAAGGCAATTTAAATCTTGCTGCTGGCAACATTGAAATCTAGTCTATGGCAGTCAGCCGCAGATTGGTCGGTCGGTAAAGAAATGTCTTTTTGGAGTGAAGTAGATGAACGTTTTGAGCTATTTTGTTCTTATCGCTTGTAAGATATGAGAATAATATTGTTATCTAAAAACTGTGCAATTGGCTTTTATATATGTTAAATGTGATGTAATTGTGTTTAAATTTCTTGAACGTGATAATTTGTTTGTGAAGTGCCACAAAGTCAAGATTAGTTCGTGCTCCCTAGCCGTGCTTTATTAGTGGAAACGATTCAATAAAGCCAAGAAATGCAAGCTATCAAATGTGTTGTGGTTGGAGACGGGTAAGTTTTCAATATTCTGGTATAATATTAATTGTCCCTTGCAGTTTTACCTTCTCTAGCGTAGAATTGGTGTACTGTCGACTGACGTCATATTTTAAATTGAAACGTCTTGATGAACCACATAGCATACGCACTGCATTTAGTAGGTAGCTAGGTAGATAAAAAACGCTTGGATTTCGGATGTGCATCTATTGAACGGCGATAACATTTAATTATTAGCCATTGTTCACAATAATACTACGACATAAAAGTAATCTGTACTGATACGACAAAAAATATCACGTTCGCTGGTTATTGTATCATTTATGGTAACAATAACTGCACAGTCCACTGTGTGTGATTCATGAACTTATCAGTTTGTTTAAGTTTTGTTGCTTAGAAATTGAATTTTATGTTAATATATTTTTTGAAAGTACATCTAATAACCTCTTTTCTATTAAATAAGTACACTGTGATATAATTTAAAAATAAACTCCATATCAGATGTAAAAACTAGCACAATACAATCTAAAGCTATATTTGAAAGATATGAAATCTTTAATAAATCTAAGAGACAAAATGCTGGTGTCAATAGGTTTGTAAACAAAAATTTGTAAGAAAATGGAGATTAGCATTTGTTTATTTGTTAAAGAAGATAGGTATTTTAATATGGTAGCAATTTTGTTGAATAAACTAGACTAAATAAAATTGTAATCCTGTCAAACAATGTTTTTCATCATATAATTAATTAAGATAATAGGTGACTAAGGAATAACATTAGAACAGTTTAAATTAATATGGAATTTTTTAAAATTAAAAACAATATTTTCAACTATGCTTACTTCTACTTAATAGTTGTCAGATGACTTGTAGTACTTATTTAATGGAAAACAAGTAATAAGGTAATAGTGCATATGTTTATATTCTCTCTTTCAAGAATATGTCATTACTCCAGAGTAGAAAGGTTGTAAACAAATAATTTTGTGTGAAAAACACAGATGGACTTTTTTGACTTAGGACTTTAGAAAAGTTAAACCTATAAAGGAGATGTGAAATATTTTAAATATAGTAATTTGACAGTGACAGACATTATAAACAAAAATTATATACAAACTGCATCTTGGTTTTTACCTAAATTATGTTAATGACCCAGCTCCAGATCTATGACTTTTTCCAACTGGGGTAATAACTGATTTTTGTAGTGTATGATTTTTTAGTTAAATTTTTTATATTATGATAATTTTGGTGCTCACCTAACTCTGATGCCTGGGGCAAGTGAGCCATTTTCTACCCCTAGGTCCTTTCTTTCCAATGTTAATTTTTCTACTGGTTTTTTTTATGTATCATGCACTTATGTATTTTTTTTTTAATTTGCAATCATGTTTATTTGGCCTATTTGGCTGCTTTTATTATATTAGTAGACTATAGAATATGTTCATACTATTCGGCCGAACACCGAGTAAGTACCTAACATATTTGTTCTAATGAGATAATTGGTACAAATAAAAGAAATTACTGATTAATTTTATTATAATATTATTTTGATATTTCTTATAACCATGACAGCTATTAGAGCATAGTACACAATCAATCTTTTTTATTGCAAAATTTTATGTTTTTGGCATATGGCCGAATAGTTTTTGTTGCAAGTCTAGTAAAAGTGCATGTTTTTTGATAATTCTAAATTATATCTTGTGGCTGTATAAATATAATGATGAGTGTAATGACTGTACCTTTGGCAAATGAGCAAGTGTCACCAAAACACCTAATTAAAATTATGATTCTATGCCTGCGGCACACATCAAATTAATCAGTAGTGTATTATTATAGGTCGACGGGATACGCCCTAGTCTGTAAATCTACTTTTTTTTAAGTTCTGCATATTTGATCGAACTATATGCGTGCATATCGGGACACAAGTCGCTCGAGTGTAAGTACATTCTCGTCAGAAGCGCAAGAATTCTTGAGAATAAACAAAAGGTTTGAAGAGTTTGCCTAAAGGATAATTTGTTGACCAAATTTAATATTTTGTCTCAAGTTAAGAATTAAATCTAGGTAGATTTTACCATCACACAACATTCCATGAAACTCGTGATTAAGACGATCAAAGACGTGGCATTTCGTCTATAAGAGCTTTAAACTCCCTTGTATTGGATTACAGGTTGATTGGTATCGTGATTTATTGTAATTGAAGCTGCCTCGCTGCGTTTACGTACCTACCTAGATTGCGGTTGCCAGCTTTAAGCCCATTATTTCTGGGCTGGTTAAGGGATTTACAATATATTTGTCTTTCATGATGAGGGTACAATGGAGTTCGCTGAATTAAATAGAGGTCCTATTAAATACTTTGTTTAAAAATATTTTATTAGTGATTAGGCTACAGCTCGTGTCTTGGTTGGTTTATCTAACATCATAAGGACCTTACTATGCAAAGTTAATTATAAATCCCCATTCATTCTTTCCAATCGTTACATCGTATCTATCCGAAAGACAATTCCAAGTTAAATATGGAGTAGCGAGATCCAAGCTATACAATATTGAAGCGAGAGTTCCGCAGATATCAGTTTTGGGACCTGTCCCATACAACAATTTACGTCCAATACCGTCCAAAAGGAGTTAGGGACCTCCTCTGACGTAACAGTCGCGACTTATACCGACGATGGTACTTGGATGCAGAAATGGTGTATCCGTGCAAGCGCCCGAAATCAAACCGAATAAACTTTATTTTAAGGAGAGGTAACTGTCCTGCAGTAAAATTAGGTGAAGATATCCTACCACAAACTATTAGTGTCAAATATCTTGGTTTCCATCTCGATAAGCGGTTAACGTGAAACCAGATCAATTCGAAATATAAAAACCTTTACTGATTAATGGGCCTAAATTCTGCTTTAACTGTGGACAAGAAACTCCTTTTCTTTTAACAGTTTTTTTCAACTGTGGGATGTGGCTAGTAATACTAACATAATGTGTCTTTAAAAAACCCAAAAAGCTAGTCTTTCTAATAATTTAATAATAAAGAAAGTTTTACGACGATTACGAAAATCCGACTTGTTTGAAAGGCGATTCTGCCAATTTAGCGTAATTTAGAGAACTGACACAAAACTTTTTTATTTGATAAATGTTTATTAAACATAAACATTCGCCGTTAGAATTGTGATTGCATAGATATAATGGTTACCAGGTTACCACCCATAAACAAATAAAACTTATTCCTTGCTTGTTAGGAGCGCATTCTCGCATGCATGTGCGTCGTGTCATTGACCTGACTGATCATCTCGGGTCCTTGCGAAGTCAGTAGACGGACAAGTGGCAATTCACAATGTTGCCTATTGATCTTTGTTTTATCCGGGTAAATAATATACCTACCTAATCTGCTTTTCCCTGTCAGATTATAAGAAATGACTAACCTAGTAATATGAAGAAGAAAAGATTATAAATGATTCTATGGGCAAAGATATCCCTACACAGATATGTTACTAACATTATAAAATGAAACATTTGATATTTTGTTTGTTTTCATTGAATAGACTCCGAAATTGATAGACTTGTTTAAAAAAATCTTCAAATACAAATACAAATACAAAATATTTTATTCTTTCACCTACATGAAGCTTATCATTATCATACACGGCATAAACTATAATTTATGCGGGTGAAGTCACGGGAAAACAGCTCTTTATTATTGAGCATGTTCAGAAAATTGCTTCTTTGTTGCCGGCTCATCCAGTTATGATATCTTCAATTAATGAAAACAGTTTTCTCGAGGGTTTTTTTGCATTTATTTTCGTTGGCACTTACAGAAATAATTTATATGTTTATTGTCATTTATTGTTTTCACTCGATAAATGGCTTATAACATTGAACTGTCTCAAAATGTTTATTCGTGGGTTGTCAGAGTTGTTTTTAAGTCAATAAAAATTGCTGCCGTTTCTTAAAATATTCTTAGATTACTTTGTGAATTTTTTCATCAGGATTGAATCTATCTTTTCATAGATGTGCTAAATGTCTTCAATGGCTTAGCTGAGAAAGGAAACGCAAGAATATCTATGGAGATAGGTGTTTAATTTACATATAATTTGAATACCGATGCCGGTACAAACGTTTCTATTCTATTAACGATGAATACTTTAATCGGTAACTTATTGATGTGACAATAAAAAAGTATAATATGCTGTAGAATGAAAGTCTCCCCACACATGAATTTACACATATTACTATACATACGAAAGTAAGCAATCTCCAACGGAAATAAACATTCTTGAAATAATTTGTCTATGTTTAGAGTATTTTAGATTTTACCTCGTATTCTACACACGTATTAGTTTAGTTGAATAAAGTTAATAAGTTATTAGCAATCCCGTGGAAATTTATCTATAATTATAATACGTTTCAATTTATTTATTCTGTTTCAAATACGGCCTGGTAGTAGGTCTATTTTCACTTTCACCTTGGATTCCTTGTAGACGCCCACACGCCCACACATTCAGACGAAAACAGCAAAACTGGATCAACAATTACAATGAATTGATTTAGCACATGGTTCAGCAATTCTAAGTCTAGAGCTAGGCGAATAGAGTCGTGAATACCAATATAGACATGTATAGAAACGTAGCTGTATCCAAGGTCAGTGCTGATACGTTGACATCGGATATTACGTTTAGTGGGCATGGCGAAACGTTTGTCCCCCATGTTTGGTGTCATATGGGATTAATACTTTAGTGTCCTATCTAATTTATTGTATTCTTTTTCTAAATATAGTGATGACTCAGATTAATATTCATTCGCATATTGATTGTTTTATAATTTCAATCATACCTTACAGTTTACGCTCTCTGAATTCTTTTTACTCTCTTAATTGCTTTTGTGGTTGAGTAAGGTCATTCCGAAATAAAACTAGAGGGACAATTTTCATACGCATGCTGATACTGTTAATAATAAGATGGCCCGTTAAAGGCCTTAAATAAAAAGATGACAAGTTCTATTTGATTCGTCTGTCGACATAGCTTTAAAATATTATCTCA